CTCTTATACATATATATATATATATATATACCAGCGTACCCTATATCTAGTAATCTCCCGACTATTCCCGAAGGTCCGAGAGGTGGCGTGACACTAGTCACGTGACCTCGCTGACGCAACAATTCTTTCTGTAGTATGTGTCTATTTACTTAATGTAGGTTTTGTAGTGCAAGTTTGTTTGTTTTTCCAGAAATTATCTTTTACCATCTTGAGTTGCTGATTTCAATGGGGATAGAAATTAATAGTACTAGCATCACTAGATATGTTAAATAAAATGTAGATTGAATATCAACTCTGCTATTTTTTAGAAGTCATTATGACAATTATTTCGCAAGTATATAATAACATTGCTTTCTCTATTTAATTATGGTTGTTATGGATCAAAGCTTGAATAGCCTCTCTGACAACAAACAAGTGACCCAAAAATTTCGAAATTTCGTTACTTAACATATTTGAATCTTTTGACCTATATTCACAGACGTGTTTTTGTGATGAATCTTGAGTAAATCCAGAACATTTGAATCCTCTTAAAATATTATATTGTTGCGATCTTTCCTTTCCTTTATGGGTTCTTTTAAATTTTCTGGTGAAAATAATTCAACTTCCAATCCACATAATAATTACAGAATAGTTTATTTCCCCCTTTTGCGTTTCTATAAGCTTGAAGTTGAACACTTGTACATTTGTAACTTGCTGTAGGCCAATATTAAATATTACTTTCATACTGTACTATACTAACGTAAGTAAAACCAACTTATTATTCTTAACATTGTTTAACGCAACTGGAGTTTATTATGAAACATTTCAATAAATGTAAAAAAAATCACAACCTATATCTCCTGGAGGTATAAGTAGTGATTTTTTTTACATTTATAGAAATAAAACCAAATTACTTGTACAAAGTAACCGCAACAGCAGCACATTGACTAGTTCACTCGCAATATTAAAAGCATTCTCTTAACGACGCTTCACGGAATGTCGTATTTATAATCTACCTTCGAATATACTAGAAAAACTTTACGTTATATCCTTAGAAACATCTGGTAAGTGATCTAGACATTTCTTATTAGACCTTTTAATCTCAACGTTATAATTAATACCCGCAACTTTCTCTAGTTAGTTACAACATTAAAATATAGTTTATAACATTATTAGATATATATATATATGCGACATTAATCATTTAATGACAATGAATGCTAGGTCAATTTATATTATAATATTAACAATGTTGAACTTCATTTTCATTGCCTATATTTAAGCTTTAGTAACGCAACATAAACATACTTATTACTTAAGCCTAGTGGTTAGTATGATTTTGATTTTAAGTAACTTCGAGTAATATTTTATTGTTTATAGTTTACGTGATTATTTTGATAAATTCTGTCAGACATAATTTCCTAAATTTATTGTTAACATGTGCTTTAGATAGGATATGACAGTGAGCCTAACATAATCTAGGCCTATAATTTATAAATAAATTTGCGCCTAACGCGATAATTGTTAGCCCAAAAGAATATACTATATGTATAGCCTTACCGGAAGAGAAATCATTTAAAAAAATAACAATTACAAGCTATATTGCTCCTTTGTTTTGTTTAATATATACGACTTTAGTTATTTAACAGAGTAAAAAATATGAACATTAGTGTTAGATATTTTATCATTGTTAAGTTCGTAATATGATAACCCTATTTTCGAAATATTTCTCATTAAAATTATTTTGAAATTTTCAATTCAGATGAGGCAATAACCTTGTAATAAGATACACTTATGAATTCTCCTGTGTTTGTTAATGTAATTTAACAGCTGTCTTTTCCTTTTATACTAGTATGTAAATATCCTCTGTCTGAAGGATGCTAGCCACCTGTTAAGAATCCCCCTTTTCTGAAGTATGATAAATTAACTGGGATGAAATAAAAACAGCACGTGGTCTTTATAATTGAGGGATATTACAAATGGAGCAACATCTCAATGAAGCAGCACTGAAAAACTCAATAAAACAGATCCCAGTTGTTTTTGTAAACAATGTCGATACATATAGTGGATGGAATATATCACATTTTCTTGCAAACAGTCGTATTAATGGCACATTATCTGATAATACTAGTGTAGACCGACAGGTGAGTTACGAATCTCAATTACAAACTACTGATGATCAAGGTCTTGTTTACCAGGTTTATGGAACAAAAACAAAATTTGACAGCAAAAGTAAAGAAGATGAACTAGGATGTTCAACTGAACCATTAGGTATGCTGAATTTGGATATATCTCATTGCAAACAAATACTGGTTAATGAAGAAAGGGAAAAATTATTGGCTCTCCTTCTTGAGTGTAATATTATTATTTATGACATAACTGATATTGAAGATCCAGACCAAGTTGAAGAAGCCCTTTGGGCGTTGTCAACTCTTCATTCTACTGCAGAAAGTTTTACATCGAGAAAAATATTCATCCTTGTCTCTACTATTCTTACTTGGGCTCGAACAAAACCTTTAGACCCAGAAAATCCACAAAGTCCATTAACTGAAGAAGAATATAAGCGCAGAAGAGCACACCCTGCTTTCAAGAGACATTTAACTGCTGAAAAAGAAATTATCAGACTTGGAAAGACAAAAAAAGTAAAATGGTAATGTATGTTGTGACATCTGGAATTACCTATGGTGGAGGTGAGGGTTTTTTGCATTATTGGTTTAAATGCGGTTGGCACAATAACCCAGTAATTCAATATCCTGGAGATGGACAAAATATAGTACCAATGATACATATCAAAGATCTAGCTTCCATACTACAAAATGTAATTGAAAGAAAACCGTCCATCAGATATATAATTGCTGTAGATGAAGGGTTTAACACTCTAGATAATATATTTAAAGCCATAAGTTTAGAACTCACAACCGGTGAAGTCATAGGAGTTCCAAAAGAATATTTTCTGTCAGTGGAAGATATACCAAACAAAGCTTTAGATATGCTGGAAGTGAACATTCATGTTCAACCTGAAATAGTAGAAGAGGACATGTCTGTGACATGGGTATCTAAAGATGGTTTTACTCAAAATATAAAAACTTGTGTACAAGAATACAAAGAAAAGAGAGGATTACAACCAATTCGTCTTTGTGTACTTGGTCCTCCAGTTTCTGGTAAAACAACAATTGTAAACAGTTTATGTGCACATTACAAACTTCATCCAATCCAAACAGAAAAGATTGTTCAAGAAATGCTTGAAGACCTAAAAGAAAAAGCAGCTGAAGAAGTTACAGACAGTAACAATGAAGAAGTGGAAAATGCAAAAGAACAACTACAGGATATTTTATCAGGTCAACTTGCTAACAACGGAGAGATCCCTAATCAGTATGTCATAATGTTTGTTCGTAAAATGATAAATTCTAAGCCTTGTCAAAACCAAGGATTTGTATTGGATGGATTTCCTTCTACTGAAGAACAGGCTCGAGAGTTGTTTGCTGTTGTAGAAGAGGCAGAAGAATTAGAAGAAGAGGAGTCAGCACTTTATAAAAACAGTATTATGCCATCTCTAGTAATCAACTTAAATGCTTCAGACGAATTTCTCCGAGAAAGGGCAATGAATATGCCACAAGAAGAGCTTGAGGAGAAGCAGTACTCAGAGGAGACATTTCTATATAAATTGGCACATTACAGAAACTTACAGTTGGACGATATTACAGCTGTTGAGTATTTTGATGAAATGGAGATCCATGTTGTACAGATTGATGTGACAGCTAATGTTGAAGAACATATCAATGATATACAAACCAAAATCATTGGTAAACCTCACAATTATGGTCCTTCTATAGAAGAACTTAGAGAACGATACAAAAAGAAAATGGAAGAAAAGGCAAAAAAAGAAAAAGAAATGGCAATAAAACAAAGAGAAAAAGAAGAGGAAGAAGAAAGACAGCGACGAATACGAGAGGAAGAATGGGCTCAGTGGTTGAACCAGATTCAGAGAGAAGAAAAGCGATGGTTGGAAGCTCAGTCCACTCCTTTACGTAACTACCTGATGGAGCATGTAATACCTACTGTAGCAGAAGGATTGTTAGAATGCTGTCGATTAAGACCTGATGATCCTGTGGACTTTCTTGCAGAATATCTGTTCAAGCATGCAATGCATGAGTAAATAATTTACACAAAAACATAATCATGACCATTCTCTATCTCACTTATTTTGTTCGTTATAAAATATTAATTTCAAAAATTTCTTTCAGACTTTATAAAACATTAAAATTAGAATCCATTATCAGTTCATTGCATGGTTTTATTATTTTGATTATCTGTAAACATTTGTTGTGAATAAATTCATTAGTTATTAGTTGTTTCAGCAAAGTGTTAGTCTGGACTACGTTGAAAATAAAAATTGAACTGAGTATTCTGACCTTAAAGAAATTCCTAAAATTAAATAGGAATTGCCCTGATTATTTTTTGGATTAAATAATTACTTCATTTTCAAACTATGATTTAGAATTACTTGCACAGAATATGGTATTGAACTGCTCTATTGATCTTAATATATATATATATTTATGTGTTTGTGTGTATTATATATGTTATTATAAGTATTTAAAGCATTGTTTCTTTTAAATATATCTGTGACTACTAAGTGTATAAATATAATCGATGTTTGGTTAATAAATATAATGAAATTTTCTCAGATGTAACTATTTCATTTGTTGATATTAAGTAACACATATATATTAATATATATATATATATATATTACAAATGAGAAATTTATACAGCAGAATTCAGAGTTCCATTTCGATAGCAGACTCAGAGCAGATAGCCCATTGTGTAGCTTCGCGTTAAAACAAAACCTAATTCATAGTAAGTTGAATTGTCGGTTTAACATTACTTTTAGTTTTTATTTTGCCAAAGATATCAAAATTTAAAAAAAAACAGGTTAAATAATCGCCGATTTTGTATATTTTTATTTGAAGAGAATGAGTTTGATGTTCCTTTTTTTGTAAGTTGTACGATCTGACGAAAAGCACTAAGCTCGATACGTCATATTCTTCAAATAAAAATATTAAAAAAATTGGCATTTAAAATTAGAACCCTAGTAAAGGATGACACCCACTTCATATTGAAAATGACTCCACAATATAATTTTTTTAATGTTCATATCAATAGGAAATTAATCGGCTTTGTGATCCGGGTTTATAGAAAACAGATGCAGAAGATGCTAGAAATTCTCACACCATCCACAACAAAAACTTGGAACCTTAAAATGTATAATTCAAATATCGCTCAACATACGTAACACTAATAATTTAAACAATGAATTAATTAAAATATTTGATATTTTTACTCATAAAAATGGTTATCCCGAAGGAAACGTTAAAAGCACAATCAGTGGAACGAAAATAATGAAACAATTTTTTCCTTTTATTGAATATGTCAGCAACAGCCCTTCCTGAATATGGAAACGCCTTATAAAGAAAAAAAGCACAACATTAAAATCAACTCGTTAATCGTAAAGAAAGCTACGAATAAAAATAAAGAACATCGTTGGAAGAAATTGTTCGAATCAAAGGAACACCAAAAGAGATAATATGTGAAATTAAATGTAACACATGTGAACGATTTTATTTAGATTAAATTAGAGAAAAGTAAACACAAACGTAAAAGAAAATTTCAAATGACCGTCCTGTATTTTCAAACATTTAAAAGTCATCAAACACCCAATATCAGAAAACAGCATTAAAATTCTACGAAGTGAAACTGATATAAACAGAAGAAAATTTGGAGAAGCTATACTGATAAAAACATTAAAGCCTTCCATGAATAAATCCTTTCTATTTCAATTAATTATAATCCACATAATTCTACACTATATTATTTTAGTTTTTTTATCTTTTGTAAGTAATTATTGCCGTCTAAGTTAAATGTATATAATTGTTTGTTTGTTTGAAGTGAAGCACAAAGCTACATAACGGGCTATCTGTACTCTTCCCACCACGGGTATTGAAACCCGTTTCCTAGCGTTGTAAGTCTGCAGACATG